GAGGGAGAGAGAGAGAGAGGCATGCTCAGGGGCAACGATCGGGGGGGATAGGCATAGGGGGGGATGCATCGGCACGCAATCGCACAATGATCGCCGAGAGGGGCCCGATGGCCCCAACCTGCCCAGGAATGTGCGGATTCGCTATCAGGGGCCTACCGCCGATCTGCCGTCCATTTATCGCCGATTCCTGGTCGATGCATCCCCGCCTATGCCAGTCCCCCCCGTATCGTTGCCCCTCACATGTGGGCGTGTCTGGGTGCGGACGGGCGGTTTCTCGGCGTGGGGGGGTTGGGCGGAACTGCCTCGAGGCACCCCTCGCCTCTCCTCTGTCGTCCACTGCGCGGGGGGACGATGGGGGGGGGGGGGCGGCGTGGGCGTGTCTGGGTGCGGGTGGGCGGTTTCTCGGCGGGGGGGGGGTGGCGGAATTGCCTTGGGGCATCCCTCGCCTCCCTTCTGTCGTCCACTACGCGGGGGGACGAGGAGGGGGGCGGCGTGAGCGTGTCTGGGTGCGGGTGGGCGGTTTCTCGGCGTGGGGGGGTTGGGCGGAACTGCCTTGCGAGGAGGGCCGCCTGGCGGGGCGTTTCTCCACCAGCCCATGCCTGCCGAAGGGCGGCCCACCCGAGGCAGGTGCTGGACGGGTCCCATATTCGGGCTTCTGGCAGGACTTCGTGCCAGAAGCCCCGATCTTGTGCTCGACGGCGTCTCTGGCACACACTGCAGGGCTTCCCTCCAAATGCGCGAGGAGAGGCCCTGGAGAGCTTGTGCCAGACGGCCGCCTCAGCAGTGTGGTGATCCAGGGCCAGAAGAGTCTCCCGCATCAGGGGGGGGGCGGGGCGCCCGTGCCTGCCCGGGGCCGGCAGCCGTTGCGCTCGAGGCGTCCTCGCGGTGTGCTCGGGGCCCTGTGCTCTCGCCCGAAGGCCAGCTGCGTGCGGTCTGGGCGGCCGCGATCCCAGATTTCGTAATAAAGGGAGGGGGGTCTCATTTCGGGGGGGGTCTCTTCCAGGCTATCTTGGAGGGCCTGGGGGGTCTGGGGACGATGTTTTGGCGGGTTCTCCCACGGGGGAGGTCTGAAATGGCTTGTCTTGGAGGGTCCAGACCCCCTCCCTTTTATTACGAAATCTGGAGTACACCCTAGTGCACGTGGCAGTGCCCTCGCCTCTTTCCCCGGCTGCACCTTTTCGTTCTCAGGGTTTCTTGGCCACGTGTCTCCTGTTCCTCGGCCCGCCCTTTCGCTTTCGGGGCTATCAGGGTGCGTTGCTAGGGCAATGTCAAATCTACTTGCGGGGACCAAACCAGGCAAGTCGAGGTAAATACATCTAGATCGAGGTCAATGCAGATAGATCGATGTAATTCCAGAGATCTTGGACGCTCTGGCGCGAGTCGAAGGAAGCAGAAGTCGTTAAGCCCCTCAGGAGAAGGGGTTGAGTGCTGCGGGATTTGGGCATCATGGCCAGGGGCATGAGTTATTCTCGATTTCATGGCCCCCTCCCCTTCTTTCAATACGTTCCCAGGCGTGGAGGCTTTGCGGTCCGACTCGCCATGAAGCAAAGGGATCCTGAAGCAAACGGGTCCCGATGTTTTTCACAATTTTCGTGCTCCCAAGGCTTTCTCAGGGCCCCCGGACCGTCAGAAAACGGCTCGGGACGAGCGCTGGCCGTGGGGAGGGCCCCCAGGGGTCCAGGACCCGTTTCCCTGAGGACCCGCGTCCGTCATGCTAACAGACGGGTCTGGGATGAGGTCCGTTTTCACCACCCACCAAACCAGCCCAACCCAACCCGAAGGCTTCAATTTGCCCTCCATTTCCAGTGCGTGCGTGTGTGTGTGTGTGTGTGTGTGTGTGTGTGTGTGTGTGTGTGTGTGTTTGTGTGTGTGTGTGTGGGGGGTCGGGGAACAATGAAAAAAAACATGGAACCCATACCCCCCCCAAACCCGAAATCGGGATCTTCGGCTTAGGTTGGGGTGGTCCAGTGGGTAGTCACATTTTGGTCTCGAGAGGGGCTCGATGCTCCCTGGGTCCTTCCATCGGTTTTCCACCAGCGCTCCTGGTGCACTTAGGCGCAGCGCAACTTGGTGGGGCCTCCAAGGGGGTATCGCTCCTTACCCACGTCCATTTATGGTAACAGTTCGGCTGTCGCGTGGGGAGTTTTGAGGTCCCAGGCGTGCCTCAGGCTGCGCCTTTGGGGCCTTCAGCTGGGCTGGGGTGACAGATTTCGTCCTTTGGCGAACAGCGAGACCCATGAGGACAAAACAGACTTTGGCTGTGCGACCCATCACGCCGCGCTGGCGCGGTGGCGACCCCGGCCAAGGGCGTTCGAGGTCAAGCGCCGCCGGTCGCCCAGACTCGGCCGATCTTGAACGATCTGCGCCGCCAGACAATCGGGGGCGGCAAAGAGCGGGGTGATGACTAGGGGGGGGTGGATCTCATGGCGCGGGCCATGATAGTTCTCCAGATCTCATGGCGCCTCTTCTTATTTAATCGCTTCGCTCATGCCGCCGGCCCTGGAGCCCTCTTTAGGGCCTCTTGGGGGCCTCTTGGGGACCTCTTGGGAGTCTCTTGGGGCTCCTTGGCGGCGTTTTGGAGGCCCCCAGGGCCTCTTGGGGGGCTCTTGGGGGTAGTCGATTGCGGCTCCCCCCTCGGAGGCCACGATCCTCGTGAGGGGTGTCGAAAAATACCCTCCCCTGGAGTGGTCTGGTGGCTTCTCCCGGGCTTCTCTCGGG